ATTTTGCTGCAAAAACAAGGGCAGTATCATCTGCGTATGAGAGTATTTTTCCAGGGAATGAGTTGAGACAAAGGAGGTCATTTATATAGACGAGAAAGAGTGTCGGCCCAATAATGCTCCCTTGGGGCACCCCGAAAGATACAGGTAGTTCAGTACTGATGTAAGAGCCAATTTTAACACATTGCTGTCTATTTGTAAGATAATCTGCCAGCAGACTCAACTGTGTTCCCCGGATACCAATTCTTTCCAATTTACGTAAAAGGATCGGGACTGAGACCGTGTCAAATGCCCTCGCTAAGTCTAAGAATATTGCAACAACCTTATTTCCTTCATCAATATTAGTTGAAACATAATTGGTGAGATTGCTAACTGCATCATCAGTTGAGCGTCCATGGCGAAAGCCGTATTGTTCATCTGATAGTAATTTATTGTGTTCAAGGTAATTGACAAGTCTTTTGTTTATGATTTTTTCTAGAATTTTAGACAGCGATGGTAGTATAGATATAGGCCTATAATTTTCAACACGGTCCCTGTCCCCGCCCTTGTGAATTGGGATGATCTGTGACTTTTTTAGATCTGTGGGGAAAACACCCCTCGACAAGCACATGTTAAATATATAAGTTAAGTGTGTCGCAAGGATACCTTTATGAGTCTTTAGGAACCTGTTCGACAGACCATCCCATCCCACTGAGCACTCATTCCTAAGCGCACCAATAAGGTCTCCGACCTCATCTTGGTCAGTCTCCAAGAGAACAAGGGAATCTAAATTTTGACACAGGTAACCCTCTACAGCCTCTGGAACTCCCGTCCGTCCCTTTGTGATACTTTCAGCTAGTGATTTACCCACATTTGTATAATAAGCATTAATATAATCAATAGAAAGCTGGGGAGTGTCTAGGGAGGCAAGTAGTTCGTTAGGGAGATTGACTGGTTTTGCTGTGTCTGTGATTATTTTAATCGAGTCCCACAATTTTTTGCTATCTTTACCAGCCTTTTGAATTAACTCTTTATCATAGTTACGTTTAACTTTTTTGAGGATTTTACTGCAAAATTTTCTGTAGCGGGTATAAGTTGTTTTAAGTATAAGGTTGTCTGGAGATGACTTCATATTTTTGTGCAGTTTATCCCTATGTCGGATGCAGCGCAGCAAGCCAGGTGTAATCCAAGGTTTAATTATCCGCTTACGGTGTGGAAGTCTGACGACTGCAGAGTTGTGGTGTAAGGCTAGTTGCAGTTCCCCTATTAAATGACTCAGTGCGATGTTGCAATCATCCGTTTCATAAACTGGGTTAAAATTAATTTGGCTGACACAGTGATATAATTTATCCCACTCAATTTTAGTGTATGTGGACAGTGAATAATTCCTTGAGATATGTTTTTCTAGGCTCAATATGACAGCTTTATGATCAGTAAGAGTGGTTTGCAAGACAATAGTGGTAGAAGAAAGTTTACTTCTTAGAAGCACATGATCTAAGCAGCTTTTGCTAGCGTCACGCGTTACCAAGCTATGTGCAGGCAATAATCCATGATACGCGGTCATCGCAAGATAACTTTCAGTAGAGGCACTTGAGCATTCAGACAGTATATCAATATTTAAATCCCCCACTATCGCGATATTTTTATAGCCTTTTAACTTTTGTAAGACCTCATCTAATGAACTCAAAAACGGATCCAAATTAATGTATGACGGAGATCGATATATGGCCAGAATCACGGTATCATCTTTCCCAAGTTTAAGAATAAGACAATTACAATTTTGTATGTTAGATTCTTCAATACAACAACTAATTTCATTCTTAACATAGACTACGACTCCGTCGTTCTGAATAGGATTTAATAAGGTCATGTAGGAACAATAGCCATCCAATCTAGGAACAGAGTGTACATGTGTCAACCAACACTCGGTGAGGATAAGTATGTCAAACTCAATGCCCAGACTCGACAATAAAACCTGGAAGCCTGTAAAATTGCAATTTAAGCTACGAATATTTTGGGTTATAACGGATAAACATCGTTGTGATGGGAAATACTTAATGCAATCATCGATCTCACACTCATAAGTTTCAGAGATTCTAAAGCTATCAATGTCATTAGATACATTATCAAAATCTCCCATTTTTCCAGAAGTAATAAATAGTAGCTTGAATATGGTTGTATAGTAAAAATCTTGATAATATTATACTGAGTGTTATTTTTCGTTTCAAGTAAGCAACTGATAATTTGAAACCTATTTTTGACATATTGATAGAGATAAACTCATAAGCCTCAAGAGAATATGTAGGAATATATCTGTAAAAATCGAAAGGCGTTGTATGATTGTATAAAATGTGAAGTGTTAGTTTTGTGTTTTTATAGAAGCAAGCACTTATCATGCTATGATTTACAAAATATTGAGAAAAGTAATAACAAACATAAAAGGAACCACCAGCAGTAAGGGCATAAACGTGAGAAACAGTTACTAACAAACGTGATAGTCACTCCAGCTTCCTTAAGTTCTCAATGTCCTTTTCCGATAAAATCTTGATATGAGGCGCATTTTCTTCCTTTCTTAGATATATCACCCCATGAGACGTCCAGCAAAATAAGTATTTGTATTGTTGCTGAAAGGTTCGGGCCAGGTAAAAAAGTTGTTGTGTTTTTGTAGTGAGAGCCTCGGAGACGTACACCGGTTTAGTTGGACCCCGAAAACCGAGATTACCGGTATTGAGCTTTTCCCCTGGTCTTTTAGTTTTGTTGTATGACTTAAGGTTGTTGAGAATTTTTTCTTTTAAAAGTACCGTTGTAAGTTCAACCATAATGGGGTGCATGAACAGCATATAAGAGTCTTCGACTGAATTGTAAGCAATTACTGAATTACAGTAGATGCAACTACAATAGTCAAAGAAAAGTAGTCTTTATTTTAATGGAGTTAGAGTTTGCCACGATCGTTATTGTCAAGTAGTTTAACTTCGTAAGCTAAGAATAGATTTAGATAGGGTAAAATAAGTTCTTGGAAGTAAGATTTTGGAAATGTATATTCATAAAAAAATGAAAAGCTGTCAAATGACTGCATAGAATTTAATAATTATTTTTTGATAATGTTTGTTATCGTTAGGACACAACAAAGTTTGTATAGAGGAAAGAATCGATACATTTATCGGGAATATCTGGATATAGCACCCAGGCAAAGCTGGGTTAGCTGCGCTAGTACCTAACTAATAAATCCAATGTGCTCCATCAAAGGTATTATAATATTATGTTAAGGTAAGCAACGCATGTATGCTTGGTAATGTCAAGGCGAATTCTGCATATAAATATCCACATAGATATGCAAATATACTAAACCTATTATTTATCTTTTTATGTAGTAGGTAGCTTAGCTATGGACATGTTTTGGATGCATAACTACACGAAAACAACAAAAGAAATAATACTGTGTGTTTTAAACTAAAATGCTTTTTTTAAGGCGGGAAAATCATCGAATGACTTCGCCTGCTTGGGTGAGGCGAGAGGGAGCGTCAGACTCTTACTGACTAAAAATCACCCCGTTCCTACTCCTGCACTTTGAGCCAGAGCCTCGGTAACCCGTTAAGTTCTCCGCGGCTCTGTATCAGCATCAGCCTTATTGGGAATGCTACGCGCCGTACGCTCGGGTCTGGTTCTGGTCAGGCGGCGAGCCACCCATGCTCGCCGTCCGCAGGCCCGCGCTTACGGTGGCCGGAGATTGTCTCGCGATCCCCGACGCTCGGAGTATCCTTCGCGACGGCAAACTAAAATGCTTAAGGTGTTCTCTTACCAGGAGCGATTACTATACAAACACTACTTGATAATCCAAGTTTTCTGTCTTCTCTGACTGTCCCCATGGCTCTTGAACCATCTTTTCTATTATTAGATTGACTTCGTTTTTTTTAAGGCATAAGCCAGTAAACGAGCAGACGGGTCACCGGATGGTAAGTAATCGGCGTCGCCCATAGATACCCAAAAAACCAGAGGCGTTACAAGTGTATTACCGGCCTTTTCCGAATTTAAGGATTGTTGGGGTTTAGCGATTGGGGAAGGGGGTAATTGGGCTTTCGGTAATCTCATTCACACGACGTGATAGGTCGGTTTCGTTTCGGTTCGTTCTTAAAATCTTTGTACCACTATATCAAGACACTTAACCTTTTGAAAATTGTTGAAAACCATCCCCTAAATTTGTTCATACAAAAGTAGTCTCTAAATATTGGAAATAAGGTCTATAATGTAGTTAGTGGAGAACGGTCACCGGTGACAGCTTGGGGATATACTGTTAATTCAAGCTAACAATAACTTCGATAAAAGTGACATAAAAACATAATTATAAATAAACGCTATTTTAGTATATGATGCATCACTTAAACAAATAGATACAGTTGTAACCTAAGTCCATACGTACTCTAGGAATGCAGATGGCGCTGCCAGTACGTAAACATCGGCTCCGTGTTTGAAAATTATTATTAATTTTAATATCGCGTAAATCATATTGAAGGTTGTGTAAATGTGACCTCTCAAACACCCACTGTTCCTACAACTGTTATCCACCTAATATATACAGTGCAAACAATAAACAAAACAATAAATAAAAAGCAAAGTGTGAGCAGCGGTAGCAGTGTAAGCCATATTACGAACAGTGTGATATCGTTGATTAATGGGTCAATTGAGGCTGGTGGTAGCAAAATAGCAGTGATAAAAGTGACTATAACAATCAAAAAGTGAGATTGAGCAGTTACTCATAGTGATAGTGCAAATTATTGTTTTTTTTTTTCAAACCTACCCTACATCCCATTATTTAATATCAAGAATTTTTTCCCGTACAGTAATCGTATTTCGCCGATATCGTTTGTGAATGAATGGTCTATTTGATTATACAGTGGACTTGAGTGCAACGAGAACCGAGTTCGGATCCCACATTAGACCATTAGCTTTTGCAACTTTTATTTTAGTTTTTAATACAAATTTTATGGATTTTTTTTTATATTTTTCATTTTTATTTTTTTTTTAATATTATTTTCAAATTTTTATATACTATAAAAACATTTTTATCAGAACATTACTTGTACTATTATGGCATCGATTGGTGAATGTTCTGGATGTCGCAACGTTCTCGGCGACGAACCCTATCTTGGATGTTTTAGCTGTAGGGCGAAATATGACCTTGTCTGTGCAAATATGACCTCCAACGATTATAAGCAAATGAACGCTAACCAAAAAGCGTCATGGAAATGCCCTGAATGTTGCTGCAAGGAGCCAAAAATAGGCAACGTTAACACTCCTGTGCGTTCGACTCAATGCTCGATCACAAAGAGTCAAGAAGAGGATGTACAGGGGCAATCTAATGTCACTGTACGCAAAAGGCCCACAAAATCGCCGCTGAAATCGTCGCAGAGGCCGCTGCATAAGCAGGTGCAGAAATTACCACCAAAACTATCACAGAAAGCGGCAGCGCAATCTTCCCAAAAGTCGCCGCCAAAATTGCAGTTGCAGTCAACTCTTGGGCCGCCGCAACCGCAACCTCAGCTCTTGGAACCTAGTAGTCCTGTCACTGAAAATAAACTACGTGAGATTGTGCAACAGGAAACCTGTACTACGCTAAATCTCAAAATCAAAAAAATTGTAGCGGCTGAGCTCAAGAGTGTTATCGATACAATGAATAGTTTCAGAAATTCTCTAGAATTTGTGAATAAAAAGTATGAAGAGATGAAATCTAAATACGAAAATGCAATTGCAACTGTCACCGAGCTAAGACATGATAACGAAAGTTTAAAAACTACCATCAGAGATCTCACTACCCGAGTCAACGTCGCTGAGTTGCATATGAGGGACTCAAACATTGAGATAAATGGTATCCCGGAAAGTAGATCTGAGAATCTGGTCACCACCGTCATTCAACTATCCAAGGTCATCGAAAACCCGCTCACTAAAGAAGACATTAACCATGCTGTCAGAGTTGCTAAAATCAGCAATGACAATCCACGTCCTCGACCAGTGATTGTTAAGTTGCGTAATCCTCGTTCCCGTGACGACATCCTGGCAGCGGTCAGCAAATTTAATAGGAAAAATACCGAGAAGAGGCTTTGCACACAGCATCTTGGAATAGGAGGAACTGTCGGTCCTATCTACGTTTCGGAACATTTAAGTCCAACTCTGAAGTCACTTCACGCTGCAACTCGTATTAAAGCCCGGGAAATGTGTTATAAATTTGTCTGGGTTCGTAATGGTCGGATCTTCGTTAGAAAAGCAGTGGAACACCAAGCTATTGTAATTAAAAATATTGATAGTCTTAAGCTCTTAGTATAAGTTTGTTAATGTATTATAGGAACTAATTTGTATTATTGATGATCACAATGCTTGACATATACTACCAGAATGTACAAGGCCTTAGAACTAAGACTAATGAAATTTCTAAAAATATTCTGATGTCGAATTATAAGGTCATCGCCTTCACTGAAACTTGGCTCAATTCAAGTATTTCTGACGGCGAATTGATCGACGATAGGTACGTGATCTATCGGAGGGACCGAACAAGTAGTGATAACCCTAGGAGGGAAGGCGGCGGGGTGCTTTTAGCCGTTTCCAAGGACTTACCGTCTGTTCGTGTCAGGGAGTGGGAGACGGGTCTGGAGGACTTGTGGGTCACCCTGCAAATTCATACTAGCTCATGTACAAGAAAGCTTGCTGTATGTGTCGTATATCTTCCTCCACCAGTTAAAACTGAAACTCTTGCGTCCTTCTTGGATGGCGCAGATAATGTTGTCAATCGTGCAGATGATGTTGTGATCCTGGGTGATTTCAACTTGGGGTTTATTAACTGGAACCCTGGGGAAGGCGGTTGTGGTATGTTACCCTCAAACCATAATTCCCCTTTGGGACATTCTATTACTGACTTTATTTCCATTAACAATCTTTTTCAAGTCAATGGGATTACAAACTGCGACAACAGGTGCTTGGATTTGATTATTACAAGCTGCCAAGATGCTTATGTTGTGCGACCCTCGAGCGAGCTGAGTAAATGCTACAAGCAGCATCCTAATCTACAGTTGAATCTGCCTTATAATAAAATTATCTACCTTAAGCCCAAACGTAAACCTAGATATAATTTCTACAGGGCAGATTATTCATCTATAATAAAAAATCTGAGAGGTGTTGACTGGCGGGCGGAGTTCTCGAGCTGTGAAGGGGTTGACTCAATGGTACAAAAATTCTATCAAGTACTGACTGATCTCATAGACGAATTTGTGCCGAAACCAACGATCCATAAATCCAAGTTTCCTTCATGGTTCAGCACCTCGCTTATCAAATTGTTACACGAAAAGGAAAAAATACGGAAAAGATTCAAAAAATATGGAAACCCCAGAGACGAAATTGAATACCACCTGCTTCGTACTAGATGTCACACAATATACGATAGATGCTTCTCTGAATACAAAAACAATATTGAAGCTAACATCCCAAAAAACCCTAAACTCTTCTGGAGTTTTATTAAACATAAAAGAGGAGGCAAATCATCAATACCTGCAACAATGAATTTAAAAGACCAGGTCGGAAACACAGGCCCTGAAATAGTAAATTTATTTGCAGAACATTTTGCCTCGATCTACTTGTCCGGCTCGGCTCCTTCGGATGCTGCTTTGCTTGCGACTCCGTGTCACGCGTCTTTACAACAGAGTTTGCATTCGCTCACGATAAAGGAGTTTGAGGTGCTTAAAGCGATTAAAAAAATTGACGCTGTGAAGGGTGCCGGCCCGGATGCGATTCCGCCGGTGTTTGTGAAAAGATGTGGTTCTGCGTTGGCTTTGCCTCTGACCTTAGTGTTCAATCGATCATTAGCAGATGGGACATTTCCGTCGGAGTGGAAAAGGGCACGCATTGTTCCGGTCTTTAAGAAAGGGGAAAATTCTGACGTTCAAAACTATCGTCCTATTTCCATTCTGTCCTGCTTTTCCAAGCTATTTGAGTCGATTGTTTATCCAGTGATCTGTCGGCTTGTGGATGACAGCATCTCAGATTCACAGCATGGTTTTAGACGTGGTCGCTCAGTCGTCACAAACCTGGTCCCTTACATTTCTAATATATCCAATGAAGTTGACTCGGGCAGGCAGGTTGACGCCATCTACACTGACTTTAGCAGTGCCTTTGATAAAGTTAACCACTCCGTTCTTCTGAGGAAATTGTATGGATTGGGTGTGGATGGGGCACTTTTGAAATGGTTTGAGTCCTATTTAGGGCAAAGACCTCAGTCGGTGGCTGTCAACGGATTTAACTCAAATATCTATTTTGCCGATACTGGTGTTCCTCAGGGATCGCATTTGGGACCTCTTCTGTTTGTAATCTTCATTAACGACATAGTTGAAAAAGTAAGACACTGCAAGGTGTCACTGTTTGCCGATGACCTCAAAATATATAAAACCATATATTCCGTTGGTGACTCTCGTCAACTACAGGGTGACCTGGACGCGATACTGGACTGGTGTCGCGTCAATGGTATGAATCTTAATGCCAGTAAATGTTTTCATATCAAATTTACAAGAAAAAGGAAGCCAATTGCAACGGAATACATGCTTGGTGATACAGCATTAGTGGAGGTCAACGAAATCCGGGATCTTGGCGTGATAGTTGATAGTCAGCTTAGGTTCACCTCACACATTGACAAGTCTGTCACAAAGGCGGCTCAAATGCTCGGATTTTTAAGACGGAACTCGACTGGATTTAAACATCAGCGCACTAAAATCTTGCTTTACCAATCCTTGGTCCGTAGTCATCTTGAGTTCGCCAGTGTTGTGTGGAGTCCGTTTTATGCGGTGCATTCGCAGCGCATTGAGAGTATACAGAGAGCGTTCACTAGACACCTTGCTTATAACACTGGTGGATTTTCTCACAGGAATCCCTATAAAGAGCGCTTGATTAGGTTTCGAATGCATTCTCTTCGTGAGCGAAGACTTTTGCTGGACATGACCTTCTTTCACAAAATCATAGGTGGTCATTACCGGTGTAGCTACTTTCTGGAGAACATGCCTCTGCGTGTCCCCCGTGTCTATCCTCGAGGAAAACTTAAATACATTTTCTACATTCCACCGGTAAAGTCTAATTTGGGACGGCAGGCACCTCTCCGTAGAATAATTGATGAGTACCACTCCCTTATCTCAATAATACCCGATCTTGACGTGTTCCACGATGGATTAAGAGTATTTAGAGGCAGGATTATTGATGCACTATAGTATCGTTTGTTATTGTTGTTGTTGGTGCTGCTTGCTGTTTTGTACTTTGACATCTGTTTTAAACTCTGACATTTCTTTATATTATTGAAATTATTTTGATTCTGATTTAATTGACATTTCTTTGAAATCTTGACGATGATTTGACATTTTATTATATTATATCTGTATTAAATTATTATTATTAGACTTAATATGGCATACATTCTAATTAATTTTTGTTGTTTTTGTTGTTAATTTGTTTTGTTTTAATCAGACATAAGATAATTATATAGAAAATTGAACTTGTTAAATTCTCGTTTCAATGTGTGTATGGTGTGGAATATTGTTGTTGTTTTATTTTCCGTAATTCTCAAATTGTATTTTATTTTTAAGCCACTGTTAAGCCTATGAATTGCCAATGCTATGTACGCCATTATTGTCGCATGCATCAGACCCTTATTTTGTTACTATTGTGTATTTTCAATGTTATATGTTTGTGATGTGGCCGTACTCCTTCGAATAAATAAATAAATACTCACACACCTACATATTATTATATTACTATGCATTGAAAAGTTGAGAATCATTCTACAAATTATCACCAAATAAATGATTTCACACGCAATCGTTAACTCTATTGCTAAAAGTACATAGCAACAATATGATTAAGGTACGGGTAATACGAAGTTTTGTGTTCCGATAAAGGTGTATCATAGTCATTCATAGTTTTTGTTCGCTGCTGGACGTATGCCTCCTCAACAGTACATCACTGAGCGATCTATACATACACGTACAGCTGATAGACATAATAAATAATATTTTTGTGGTATATAGATACTCTGTATCTGTCACATCTTTTTATTATGGAATAAGTTGGTAAACGAGCAGACGCATCACCTGATGGTAAGCAATCGGCGGCGCATACCTGGAAGACTATACGCGTGACAATTGCGTTACCGGCCTTTTGGGGATTACAAATTTGAGGATTGTTGGGGATTCAAGGATTGGGGAGATTGGGGAAGAATTGAGCCAGAACGATTTGAATTAGTTTTCTGTGAGGCGTGGTATCACTCTGGTCGAACCGGCCCATTGTTTTGACATAGAATCACTACTTAAAGGCCAATCAATCAATATTAGTCACTAGGGGGGTGGCTGTTATGATAATGGTGATGACTGCTTAAAAATCTGTAATAAAAATGCATTATTGCGATTTTTCGTTTGTTTTATACCGATGTGATTAATGAACATCAACGTAATGTAATACGAAGTTTTGTGTTCCGATAAAGAAGTAGGTGTATCGTAGTTTTTGTTCGCTCATCAATAGTACGTCACTGAGCTCGATCTATACTTAGATCATAGACATAACACATAATATTTTTGTGATATATAGATACATAAATTGTATCTGTCACGTTTCTTCTCTTCTCCCGCCAGGGTGAGGCAGGAGGGAGTGTCAGACTCTTTCTGACTAAAAATTACCCCGTTCCTACTCCTGCACTTCGAGCCGGAGCCCCGGCGACCTGTTAAGTCTTCCGCGGCTCCGTATCGGCATCAGCCCTATTGAGCCCCATCTGTGGTAGTCTGATAGCTCCTTGTACGCTCGGGCCTGGTTCGGGTCGGGCGGCGAGTCACCCGTGCTCGCCGTCCGTAGGCCCGTGGCCTTACGGCGGCCTATTCGGCCTATTATTTTACTATTTCATATTAAAAGCCAATCGATTGATTGGCCTTTAATATAGGTAGGCTTCCCTCAGTTTTTCCTCAAGATTGATTAATCTTAGTCACTGAGGGAAGCCTATGTTCAGCAGTGAATACTTAAAACTCTATAATACAT